GAGAAACTGAGGTGTAAAACCAACGTGAAACCATCCCAGGCTGCTCCTCCATTGTGGAGGAGCAGAGGTTCCAAGCTGGCTCAGGCTAAAATAAACTTTGCACATCAAATATTGAGGAGGCCGAGCCCTCCTCCCGAGGCTGCGGGCCCGGGCGGGCTCGGTCCCGCTGCCGCTCCCCGCATCCCCAGCGCTTAATGCGAGCTAACAGCCCTGCCAATGACTTATTGAACAGCAGATCAAGAAACATCCCAGCTCTCTTTGGAGACTTCAAAAGCAGCTGAACACTACCAGTATCCTCCGATAAAGACACAGCTTTGCTGTACCATCTGCCTCGGGGGAGCTTCCCTCCGCCGGCGCTGCGGAGGGGAGAGGGGCTGCCGGGGGAACATCTCTGGGCAGAGGGGACATCTGTGGGCAGAGGGGACATCTCTGCCAGGGGGGACATCTCTGACAAGGGGGGGACATCTGTGGGCAGAGGGGACATCTCTGCCAGGGGGGGACATCTCTGACAAGGGGGGGACAGCTGTGGGCAGAGGGGACATCTCTGCAGTGGGGGACATCTCTGCCAAGGGGGGACATCTCTGCAGTGGGGGACATCTTTGCCAAGGGAGGACATCTCTGCCAAGGGAGGACCCCGCCACCATCCAGTCCAGCAGCTCAGGGGACCCAGGGTGACCCTTCCCCTGACAGGATCATGGCTGTCCAGCCAGCCCCCATCACCTTCAAGGAGGTGGATGAATTTACTATGGCAACATGAAGGAAAATTTTAAAAAAAAATAAAACAGTATAATAGTAAAAAATTATTTTCTTTTTTCCTTTTCGCTGGGAGACCCTCTCAGCATGGCTGTGAGTATCAATGCTGGACAGCTTCCCTAGGCCATGAGCCAGGGTGAGGCACTGCAGGATGCAGAGCCATGCTAGGGTTTGGAGACTGGGACTAACGATGGAGGAGGGAGGGTAGAGAGCCAGAGCTCACTGCCAGCTGAGCCAAACTCCTGCCTCACCCAGCCAGGCCAGCCACTGCTGTGCTGGGCCTTCACACCCACCAGCACCTTCCTGACAGAGGTGGAGGGTGAACCACAGGAAGGCAAATGGCAGCAGGTTGGAGGCTTTCCCTTGGAATTTAGAGCTGGAGACTTTATCCCTTTTCTCAGTCCCAAGCACAGGCAGGCAGGGCTGGAGCAGGAAGACAGGAGAACCAGTGTGCTCTAAAGGAGACCTTGGGACTCACTTGCTGAGCAAGGAAAGAATGTCCTCCATCAACAGATGACATTTCCCACTGGGAAGCAGGGAACCTAAGTTCCATGACCAAAGTCTCTACCCCAGGCTGAGGTTGATAGGAGATTTGTTATTGATTCACTGTGGCCAGAATTTCATCCTGTGATTTAAACCTAACTCCTCCAAAGAGAATAAGATCAATTTTACAGAGAATCAAATACATAAAGAACAGCCTTTGAGCTGGTGTGCAGCAGACACAGAGAGGGGAGTTTAAAAAAAGGTTCTTTCCCTATCAGGAGAGTTAGGAAAGGGAAAAAAAAAAAAAAAAAAAAAAAAAAAAAAAAAAAGGGGGAAAAAATAATCTGGAGATTGTTTGCTCATTTTCCCTTTCTCAGTCAAAACAGCCCTGTCTCTGCCTGCTCTCCTCATGGGCACCAAGGGAGGTTTCTGATGGCAGTGCCAGGATGAAGCTGCTGCAGTCCCCACCCCTGGAGCCTCCTGCGCAGATCCCCACCTCACATCCAGCCCTTCCAAGGTGGTCCCTGCCCCTTGAAGCTGCACCAGCACCGCAGTGGCCAAGCTTGTCTGACCTGCTGGGGTCTCACATCCACCAAGGCTGGACCAGGTGATGGGCAGCCCTGAGGGTACAGGGGGACCCTGCCCCAGTGACCTCCACGTTTGGGGATATGAGCTCCCACCAATCAGCCTCCATTCCTCCTGGCTGGGAAGCTGAAAACCCTTACACTAAGCTTCTCCCTCGGAGGTTTTATTATCATAATTCCTTTTTATTTTTGCCTTGGAAGACAATTCATCACCCTCAGGCAGCATAGATTGGCCTCTGCCAAGGCTGATGATCTGCTTCTGTGCCGCTTTCCCCTAAAGCACAGGACCAACTTGGAGCTCCTGATGTCCTAAATCTGTGCAAGGCATCAGCCTGGTGTTTGACCCTCTGCTGCCATCCCAGCCACCTTCCCTTGCCCTGGCAGGAGCACCTGCCAGCACCACGGCAGAGGCTTCTGCATGCAGCCACCCCCTGCCCATTATTTAACTGCAATCCAGAGACAATTTTTCTTGGGAAAAGCTTTTAAGCTTGATCAGTGATGGGGTTAATATTGTTTGCCCTGTGTCTCAATTTTTTATCTGTATTAATGGAAACTGCCACGGCAGGGTTTTCCACAGCGGCACCACAGTGCTGCTTTCTTGGGTTGTTTTATCTTCCAGGCTGGGTTGCAGTGACTGATCACAGCCATGTCCCCACAGAAGCTGCCCAGACCCCACCAGTGTCGCGATGTCCACCCTAAAGCCCAGAGCTTGTCCCCAAAGAGCCAGCTGTCCTGCAGAGGGGAGGGCTGGGCAGGAGGGAGCAGGGCTGGGAGCAGAGGTGAGCTCTGTCATTGTGCACCTGCCTGTGTTTGTTCTGCCACGGCTCTTCGGGGATGCTCGCTTACATCACGTTCAGGAGGAAAGGACGACACCACAAAACAAAAAGCAGCTGAAGTTAAACAAGTGGAAGCTCGCTGGGGCTGCTGGGGAAGTTGGACACTGGTTCCTGCCCAAGGCAAGCAGGCAGCTGGGCCAGCACCTTCCCCACCAGCACCAGACACGGGAGCAGAACCTGGATCCAGACAACAGAACAGCAGAACAGCGACCACCACTTGCCCCTCTGGGCCCACAACAAGCCCTGAGCAGAGCCCTGCTTCAAAAAGAGAGATGTTAAATATTTTTTGCTCTGTGCTTTCACGCCTTTGATTCCTCCAATTTATTTATTCTTGTCTTTGTGGGCTTAACAGTCAGAGTGTACAATAAGTCATTGCTTCTTAATCCAATTTGGCTCTATTTAGATATTCCAGTTTAATATCAAATGTAATATAGAATAATGTCCAGAAGAAACAGGAACAAGATCCATGTCTCTGAAGCAGCTCTGAACCTTGCCCAGTGAGGGCTGCCTGCTTTCTTTGCTAATTTGCTAACCCCGGGGTGGGTTCAGCACCCCCAGAAACTCTCTGCCATGGGGGAGGGACAGCCAGACCCCTGCCCAGCCCCAGGAACCCTCTCCTGGGGAGGGTGGGGAGCTCAGGGGACCAGGGATGGGATCCCACCGGTGCTGGGGGAGCGCAGCCCATCTCCAGCTCTCTTCCTGCTATCAGCAGTGTCACAGCCAGCGCTGCCCGGCCGGAGCCCCCTGGCCCAGGGACATCCCTGGGGCTCGCTGCACCCCGGGATCCTTCCCTCGGCACCCAGCGGCTGCCAGCGTGGGAGCCAGCACATCCCTAAGGGCCAGCGGCGTTTCCAGACAGAGCGATCCCGGTTTCATCTGCAGCAGATGCTCAATCCCTCCCTCGGCCCTTCCCGGCCCTTCCCGCTGCCTGGGCTCAGGGGACCCTGCGGGGGACAGGGACAACCGGCAGGGACACGTCTCCAAGCTGCCATCCCCAGCCGGCACAGCGAGGGATGGACGGGGGGATGAAATCAGGAGCAAAGCCAGCGCTCCGGCAAGTGCTGGATGGGGCTGGGATGCCGCGAGAAGAATCTTCCTCCCGGGGGGGGTTTCAGCCCCATCCCATCTCTCAGCCCTGGGCCCCCCAGTGAACCCCACTCAGCCTGGGCAGCCCCAGACACTGCAGGGAGCTCACCTGGGCACTCCTCCCCAGCCTGGATCAGGTCCTACCTGGGCATCTCCTGCCTGGGTATCTCCCACCTGGGCATCTCCTACCTGGGCACTCCTGCCTGGGCATCTCCCACCTGGGCACTCCTCCCCAGCCCGGCTCAGCTCCCGCCTGCCAGCTGAGTCCTTGGTGCTGGCACGGTTTGGCCCCAGCTCCTGGGTGCAGGCAGGGTCACAGCCTGGGAATGTTCCAGAGCCTCCTCGGGCACGGGAACTGCTCTGCTGCAGCACTGCTGCTGCCCAGACCGGCTGCAAACCCCCCCCAAACAAACACCAAGCACCAAACAAACCCCCCCAGCCCAGAGTGATCCCCTTCTAGCCAGAGGGTGTGAACAGGCTGTAGGTGCTGGCACCGGGCTGGCTGTGAGCCATCACCTGCGGTCTCTGTGACAAAGCTGAGCCCAGGCCAGTCAGACCCTGCTGGTTTAAAGTGATGGGGCCTCATCCAGGTGTGGTTACCTGTGTGCAGCTGACCTCTGTTCCTGTGTGTCCCTGTCAGGCAGGATGATGCAGCTCAAGCATCTTCCCACCCCAGGCACAGGGCTGATTCCCACATCACTGCTCCTGTTCCTGTTCACCTTGGTGTCACCCTGACTGAAGCACTGGGCGAGCCGAGACCTTGTGGGAGCATTTAGTCTGGTGGCCACAAGGTGCTCAGATGCTCTGTGTGTAGGAGTGGCCCATGAAGCACTGCTAATTCAGCAGTGGATGCTCCTCACCATCACCAAAGCACTCTCCTGAAAAACTACAGAAAAGAAATTCTTCTCTGCCGTGCCTCTCATGGAGAAGTGTGCGCTGGGGGTGTTTGCTCACTGTGCTCATCCTTCTCATGGCCGTGTTTCCCGTGCAGGTGAAGGTGGCAGTGCAAAGGACCAGCACCGTGCCCAGTGTGGGGGCTCAGAGCCTGCCTGTCCCGCTCCATCACCGCTGGGGATGGTGCTGGTCTCTCCTCAGGAAGGACCATGAAAGTTCTGCCTGAGGTTTGCAGCCTCTTGGGTGCCGAAGCTGAGCAGCTGTGGGACAGGGACGGGGCTGGGGTGGCACCCAGCCGTGCGCTGGCTTCTGCAGGAGCAGCACCTGGAGCCCGTCAAAGCAAACCCACTGAGGCGTATTTAACCAAACACTTACTTTCCATTTTATTCAATAATTGCTTTAATACTAAAATGCATTAGATGCTCAAAGCAGAGAAAAGAAAATCACATTTAGGTGGAAAACAAAGTTCTCATCAGATGAAAAAATCCCAATGTGGCAGGTACACCATTTGGAAACAGAATCATAATAATTTAATAAAGCTGCTTTATCATCTTCATAAAATAGACAGAATGGTGATTCTTTTTTTTTTTTTTTTCCTTTTTCCATTTTGTTGTTTACAATGATTCAATCACTGTGAAAATGTACATAACATACATATCAGCATATACAACAATTTATTCTTCATATACTCGGCAACGGAGACACCATGACGAGACGTACCGCGCTCGGTGCCGCGCCCGCCGGGGAGAGCCGGCTCTGAGGGTGTCTGGAGCCGGCTCTGAGGGTGTCTGGAGCCGGCTCTGAGGGTGTCTGGAGCCGGCTCTGAGGGTGTCTGGAGCCGGCTCTGAGGGTGTCTGGAGCCCCCAGCCCAGGCAGCAGCAGCTGAACATCAGCTGCCAGCGGCGGAGGCTCCGTCTCAGTCCCGGCACAGCTCGCAGCGGGGGCGGCTGGGCTTCTCCCCGGCAGGGACCGCAGCTCACAGGTTGGATCAGAGATTACCCATAGCTGCAAAAGCAGCTGGAGCAACAAGACCATCAATTTTCCCCAATGACAGACAAATGTGTTTCCATTCAAAATTAATTTTTTTTTTTCCTTCCCCCCCGTCCCCAAGAATAATTTCAACATATTCATCAGACAGTGTATTCTTCACAAAAGCAACTCGTTTCCTATTTGGAAAAACTAAAAAAAAAAAGGAATTCACTTTTGCACAAAGTGTGATCCACAGGCCACCTCCAGCTCACAACAAACAGGGAACGGCAACAACCTCAGCAGACAGTGCTTGGGGGGGGATTTTTCCAGCCATCAGTTGTGCCCCCAGGCCTCCTCCATCCCTCCTGGCACAGCCCTGCAGCTCGAGGGGAAGGCCGGGGGCTCCAAGGGAAGAGCTTGGCGCTGGCCCCCGGCCCCAGAGCTGCTCCAGTCGGGGTCCTCGTCACGCTCGGGGGAGAATCCTCGCTGCTCGCCGGGACAAGCAGGGGAGCAGAGCAAGTTTGCCTGAAGGAAACCGACAGATCCCAGTGATTTTTCCTAAACCAAATCTGAGGACAGGTTTAAGTTATTAAAAAGCACGATAATTACATCTGGAACCCTTCCAAAAAGCCTTCCTGCCCGTCCTGCAGCTCGGAACATTTTTTGCATGGCCAGTTTCGATGCAAGTAGGAAAAAAACCAAGAGACTGCGATTTGCCCAAGAGCCTGAACTCATCTCGAGTGACACAGAGGGACAGTGACAGGAGTACCAAAATATTCTGGAGAGGGCCAAGGCAGCAGAGCCAGGGCTGCTCCCTGGGTCTCCCCTTGGCCCTGCACAGCAAGGCTGTGCCAGGGAAGGGCCCCTCGCTCACATCCCCCGCTGCAGCCCGGGTCAGCCCACAAAACTGGTGTTTAAATGATTTTCTTGGAGGCATAAGGGTTTACTGACCTCTTTAATGCCCCCTTTTAATACAGAATTATTTCACATTCTATCTCTGCTGTGCTTTTATTCAGAGTGGCAAGGAACGTTTCCTCTGGGTAAATTAGAGAAATGTTTCTATTTTTTCTTGTTGTTTTTTTTTCCCCCCTCTCTTCCTTTTCAGTTAGCATCTATTTTTCATCCAGAACACGAGGCTGGTGGTGGCAGCTCCGCAGGCAGGGGGCAACGCTCGGCAGGAATTAAGGGCTGGTGCTTTTCCAGGCAGCTGGGGATGATGATGGGGCACCGGTGGGACCCCCACTCCCCACCACGGGCCATGGGGAACCCGGGTCCCCTCCTGGCAGAGGTGTGGGGTGGTGCTGGGGACACATGGACACGTTGTTCTGTGAAACCAGGAGCACCTGACAGATGGGGCATCGCAGGCTCTGCGCTTTCCCTCCCCCCCCAAAAAACCTCCCAGAGCTGACAAAACCAGGTAACATCAGAATAAACTCAGCTTAACAGTTACAGAACACCCAGTTACTCCAACAGCCCCGAGCCAGCCCCTCTCCCCTTCGCTTGTGTTGTAATAAAACACACATTTGGGGAAAAAAACCAGAAAGAAATGACAGCAGTAACAGTACACAGGCAGGAAACAGAAACAACATATCCCTGAAAAATGGGCTCAGAATCCAGAAGAGGGGAGAAAACCCCCAGTTTGCCTTCTGGAGGGATGCAGGACATCGTGGTGACGCGTGGGACGGGAGCTGAATGAGGTAGTCATCACACCAGTGACGGAAGCATCACAAATTTCATTAGACAACTGTTTTTTTGTTGATTCTTTCCCAATTCCTGGCCCTAGCAAGTGGCAGGGGGAGCAGGCTGACTCTGGATCTGTCTTGGACCAGCTGTGGCTTCAGGCAAGATAAATCTGCCCTAAAGAAATAAATGGCTGGAGTTCAATTTTATTTTGAGGATAATAACAACTGGAACTTGTTTTCTTGTTGTTTTTCATTTAAGTAAATCAAGTAACAAATACTTTATCATGATATGTAGACCTAGAAAGACTCTTTCTCTAGAAACCACTAATTTCAACTTGCTGGTACAGCAAACATTGGCAAGAGCTATATATTTTTCCTTCCATAATCAATTTAAAATTCTAGGAAACATTACTGAGGGTAGGAAAAATCTGCCCAGTGAAGGGTTAATAATAATAGCAATAATAATAATAATAATACACTAACTGAAATCCTCCTACCTTACTCATACCTCACTGAGGAATCATCGCTGCAAGAGAGCAGAGAGCTGTGGAATCCCTTCCCTCTCTCCCTTCTACAAAATGGCTATTAAAGTAGCTCAATTTTCAAATCAATTTTATATGAGTAGATTTGTACCCACACAAAAAAGTCCTTAATTATGAGAAAAAAATAAATAATTGCTTTAATTTTTTCTCCATTAAGAAGGCACATTAATTGAATTAGTAGCGTTGTTACATATTACCTGTCTGCCCCTAAATTAACGTCACTATTGCTCATTCCATACTTATTTATGATGCAGGGATAGAAAGAAATCGGAACAGTCTAAAATCCATGCCATGATGTCATACCTACATACACACTCTTGGTGCAATCATGGCTAGGAAACGCTGACTTGGAAGTGTGTGTGTCTAATTGAGAAGTTAATTTAGATCTCTTAAAATAATTCCATCTCTTTGACTTGGAAATGACTGGAGGCGAGGGATATCTAAATCTGGGAACTGGAAAAAAACCAAAATAACCAACTTCTGGAAAAAAAAACCTTTCCATGCATTGCCTCGAAATTATGCAAAAGAAACTGGTAAGGGGAAAAGTTCAGCACAGTGCATCCGACAATTGCAATCCAGGCAGGGTTTTCCCAAAAATGCCTTCCCATAACGCCCTGTCCTTTTCCTGCAGGAGCTGGGGGAGGCTGCAGGCAATGGTGGGGGCTGGAGGAAGCGCTTGCTCCACGGGGGCTGCAAACTGCAGGCTCCCCAAAGTTTAAGTAAGATGATTGTGATTTATTTTTTTTTTTTATTATTTTTTTTTTTTTTAAGCCTGAAAGCCTTTTGCCATCACTAGACATACAGTAATTTGCAATATCAAATACAATAATAGTACAGGTAAGTATGTGACAGCAAAAGGATTCATAAATGCAGGGGTGTCCATAGCAAAACACCAACACCTTAAAATACAAACAACCTCGTGCTGGGTGAATTTGAACCGAAACTCACCCGACTGCCACTTTGAACAGTCCCACACAAGAAACAGCCGCGACTTCGTCCGCTACAAAACCGCCGGGGTGGTAACTAAAGGTGTCCGAATAAGGAATTTGCCACTCAATTCTCTCCAGGAATGGAAATTTATCTTCGTTTTGAGATACAAAAATATATAAACTCCGAGGAGGGGGTACCGAGCGCTCCTGAGGACTGGGGGGGTCTGGCTGTGCCCCCGCCACCCGCCACCTCCCAGCAGGAGCAGAACAGCGGCTCCTCCGCTCCGGCTGCACACACCCTGCCGCCTGGCGAGACACGTGCGATTGTCACATTAACGATAGCTTCGCTTATAAACAATACATTTAGGGAAAGCTTTTAAATACAGCAATCTGTGAACCATTGGTAAGCGATAAAAACAATCTGCGCTGGGAGTCGTGCGGTCCCTCGTCCTCGTCCTCCTCCGGCCGAGCGCCGCTCAGAGGACGATGTCCTTTAGTCTCCGGGCGCCGGGCGAGTCCTTTTCCCGGCGCTCCTGCAGGAGCGGGTTGCCCTCCTGCCCGCTGCTCTCGCTGTCCGCGCCCCGGGGCTCTGCCTCGGAGGGCCGGGAAAGGCCAGTGTTCCCCAAGGGCTCCCGGCTGCCGGCGCAGTGCCCGGCCCCGTAGGGCGCTCCCGGCTTGCCGGACAAGGGGCTCTTCAGGTGCAGGGGCGAGGTGATGGGGCTCACGGCCTCGCAGCCGTTGCCGGCCTCGCGGACGGCGCCGCTCACCTTGGGGCTGCAGGCGGCCGAGTCCACCGTTCTTTTGCCTTTGGGGTTGGCGAGCCGCTCCTCGGCCGGGGGCTCGCCGCCCTCCTTGCCGAAGGTGGCGAAGGTCCTTTTTGTGCTGCAGTCTGCGTAAGGCTCTGCGTCCACCGCCGTGGCCTCGATGGACAGGGCGATGACGTTCCTGCCGTGCTCGGGGGACTTGGCGCGGCTGGGCACGGCACCGCGGGGCATCCAGCACCTGTCCGAGTGGCCCAGGATGCGGCACTCCTCCCGGCAGTGGAAACCCTCGCTCTGCTCTGCGGGGAGAAAACACGAGGCACGGTCAACGGGGTGCCCACAGCCTGGCCTGGGGGAGACCACGCTGAGCCAGGCGCTGAGCTCTGTCCCCCTCCCGAGCCGCGGTGATCCCACCCCAAACCTACACCTCCAGCCGTGACTGCGCCTCAAACTGCCGCTCTACGGACTGGAGCTCAATCTCCAATAGGTCGTGTGTCACCTGTCAGCACCAGAACAGAAGCCTGGAGAAGGAGTGACGGCAGCAAATCCATCACGACAGGGCTGTCCATGTGTCAAGCCCTCAGAACCAGTGGCTCCCGGGTTTAGTGACCAGTGTTAAAAGCCACCGTGTTTTAAGCTTGGTTTGACGTGACATTTAAGCTTGACTTTTTGCAGAGAGGGGAAAGGAACAGAGGGAGGAAAGAAAAGGGGGAGGAGGGAAGGTTCTTCGTGGTTCTGCTGTATATGTGTGTTTTAACTTGTTGCTTAATCCCCAGCTGACCTCTCACACAACAAAGGCTTTATAAATCTACAAGATTGTCCACTCCACTGAAGATTAAATGTGTCATTCCCAGTGCTGGGGCTTTATTCATACAGGAGCAATAAAGATTCCCTCTCTCGACTTGGGGCTGCTGTCCCACCACCACTTTGCAGTGCTGAAATATGGACTGGTGCTTTAACCCCTTCCAAGGACCCTCCGTGAGTAGGTCCAAGGGCTCCCAGGTGAGTGCAAAGCCTCGTGCCCGGGGCCTGCGTGCATTCCTGCGCTGTCAGTCAACCCCAGAGGACTGCACAGCTTCACCCCCACATCACAGATGGACAAACTGAGGCTCGGGGAAGCAGCCAGGCTCAGCCAAGTGCAAAGCTGGAAATCAAATTCAGCAGTTTCACCATGCCCAGCCTTTGCTGAGCATCCGACCGTGGCTCCTGCCGAACGCCGCAGGATCCTGGCTGCTTTTCAGTCTCAGCTTTTCCTTCATTTGATAAGAGCCTGTAATTGCAGCCAGCCCTCATAAAGCACAACCCTTCCCCACGCAGAGACGTGGCTCCTTCCTCCCATAACCTGCACACACTCGCAGCAATTTCGGCTCTAATGCCATTAGCCGGACGAGCCCACGCTCGGCCGGGGCCGCTTTGATGGATGGAAGGAGGCAAAGGTGCAGACTCAGCCCGGGTTTCCTCCCCGTCCGTCTGCGAGCCGTTCATTCTGATGCTCTGTACATCTGTGTGCATAACCTCCGCTCCTCAGACACATTGGTATTTCCACCACATGCGAGCACCAGGGCAGCTGATAAAAATTCTCAGCACATAACACAATGCACCAAAATATGAGCAGCTTAACACTTACAGAGAATAAACGAGTAAAAGGCAGACCTCAAAAAAAATAAAAAAAAAAGAAAAGGAAAAAAAACAACAAGGAAAGGGTTTTTTTTTTTTAAAAAAGAGAAGAAGCCAATTAATTGAAAAATATATGGGTAAAACATCAGCTTTTACTCTACATCAGAGCAGCAAGCCAGCGATGTGGAGCACAGGGCTGGGTGGAGGGGCGGAGGTCTGGCTTTTGGCAGCTGCCTTTACAGCAGCTTGAGAGAAGGATGCCCAGAGCCCTACACACAGAACAACCAGCACCGAGCTCTAAAAGCCCATGATCTTATACTTTGATTCTGTTAATTTCAAGTACTTGAGCTAAATAGAAAGAAAAAAAGAAAAATTGCCTAAAAAATGTTGCTGTCTCCCTATTTATCCACAGCTTAACTTCAAAAGGGTGCTACAGGCATACAAAGTTGTGTAGTCTGGCTGTGATAGCAGAGGACTTGGTGATGGCTGGAGGGGCTACAGAAATATCTTGGATTCTCATCCCCGATGAGACACTGATTTATTGTGCTGTGTGACCTTGGGCGTGCTGCTGGAGCACACATCACTTCAGTCTCACCACAAACATGAAAAGCTGGATCTGGGAGTGTGCTGGGCTGGCTGGTCCAGCACAGGGAGGCACAGGGGAGCTGCTTCTCCTCACCTTCCCTGCCCAGCAGCACAGCTCAGCCCCAGATCCGTGGCACTGCCATAGCCAAGGCAAACCTCACTCCAGAGGGAGCACGGGCAGGTTTGGCTTGCCTTGACCCATTTATTCCAAACTGGCACATTTTACAGCTAGAAACTATTGGAGATCTTCCCTGACCACTGCAAGTGGACATTGCTCAAAGCCTAAAGAGGCACCTGTGCTTTAGAGCAGTTCATTCAAGGGCACTGGCCTGGCACCTCTCTGCCAGGGAGATGATCAGCTTTGGACATCACCATGCTTGTCCAGAACCTGCAGCAGCTCAAGTGCAGGGAGGAAAGGAGCTGGAAAGCATTACATTAAATTGCACTGTTTCAATCTTTTGTATTAGGAAGGGAATGATAACAAGTATCAAAGAGGCCAGGCTGACAGGCAGAGGGGCACAAGTCACCATCATCCACAGACCTGAGCCAACAGGTAGTTCCATGGCACATTCTGTCACTCTGCTTCTGTGCTCAGCACACATCTCAGCTTTGAGACCATGCCCTGCAGCCAGGAACCATCCAGCTCTCGGGGACAACATGTGTCTAGGCTGCCCAGAGCAGCCTGACCTGGCAGCAGACACAAGGACCAGCACAGAGCCCCAACCAGCCGTCTCTTCTCCATGGCAGAATGGAGATCTTCAGCTACCCACCCATCCATCGCTGTCCCAGCCCTGTAGCTGATATAAAATACTATTTTTACGCCTCAAGCAAGGCCTGTTGATACATGGAAACACCATTCCTCTGCTATTCCAGGTCCACAGCCATGCACAGCAAGGTCTGAGCTCCTCAGTGGCTGACCCCAGGGCTGGTCCCTGCACCCTCCTCCTGCCCCAAGCAGAGGCAGGCAGGGAGCTCCTGGTGCTGCCCTTTGCAGCTCAGTCTGACTCACCCAGCCTTGATGGCACCCAGGATGGTCATTCACGTTCACATTCCATCACTGTGCTGCTCTGTATTGTTCTTTACCACTTTAACAACCAGAAACTGGACAACAGGAAACTCTTTCACAGCCCTAGAGCTGCCCTAGTCAATACAACTGTTACTGTCTGCACTGACAAAATGTTCTTGATGCACGGAGCAAAGCCCAGGTAACAACCACCACACACAGGGCACGGTGAGCCAACACAGGCTGTCCCCACCCCTGTGCCAAGGACCAGCAGCTGCAGGAAGACCTGGTGGGAGAGATAAACCCCCCCCACCAAGCCAAGACCCTCAGCACTTCCCAATCCCACCGTGCAAGCTCTTGCTCAGAGGAGCAGGGACACAGGGAGGATGCCCAAAAGCCAGAGCCCAGGAGGAGCTGGCAGAGGACACGTGGTGGCCACTGCAGCAAGAGCCTCCAGCTCCACGCAGCAAGGGCTCTTCCCTCGTTACAGGGGGATTAAGGAGTGTCCATGGTGCACAGAACCCCTGTCTCCTGTCCAGCACCCATGCACCTGCAGCAGAGCGAGGTGCAGCAGGCGCGCGAGGGCCCGTTCAGCTCTCACAGCAATTGAATTATCTCCAGTGGAATTGCAGCGCTGGCCAAAGAGACAAAGTTAAATCGTAGCAAGGTGCAAGTGCCTGGGAATGTAATATTCCTGATAAATGGCCAGATGACATGTGCTGTTATACAATCTAAGGTGCAATTTGGGCGATGACAATAGTCCCTGGAGTTTCCATTTCCAAACAGCCGCTCAGTTCAATCCAATCCATGTCAGAGCAGCTCTGCCGAGGTGAGTAAGTAGAGCTCATCTGTGCTATTACACGGGGAGCAAGGAAGAGGAGTGGAGGAGCTGCTTGAAAACAAAAAGGGGAGCAGAAGAGGGACTGGAAGAACCCCAGGGTGAGCAGCCCCAGCCCCAAGCCCCCGTTCCCACGGCGGTGCCTGGACCTGGGCAGTGCCACAGCTCCCTGGTGCAGGAGCCTGGCTCTACCTCCACATCTCGGTGTTTCTTCAGCAACCCCATGATTATACTGTAATCACGATGACACTGCTCCTGGGTACAGCAAACAGCACGATCATTAAAAAATTCATTTCAAAATCTTCCTGGAAGCTAATAAATTTTACAGCAGTTTCAATCCTTTCTCATTGCAACAAAGAAAAGCTTAGTTCCAGACAAATTAGAAGTAAATTGATTGCCTTAGGGGAATCTATTCAAATATCACTTTTCCATGTTAGAAATCTCTTCCTGAAACAAGAAGGGGAGAACCAGGGAGAGCCAGCACGGGAGCAATGTGGAAAAGCAAATCATTAAATCTCAGTTCATGAAACTGAGGGGCTGGGGGGGGGGGAATCAAACTTAAAATAAAATGCAAATGTCTCACTGGGGTGCAGGCCCAACATTTGTGACAGAATTTATGAATAATAAATATGAATAAATAGTAAACACGAAGGGATCAAACACTGTTGTGGATGTTTACTCATGGTTAGCCATCTTTCATGGACAATGTGCAACTGCATTATTTAACACTCCTCTTCCAGCTACGTCAGGGTTTCTTTTCAACTCCAGCACCTTCATTTTCTTGGGGGTGCACGCACACAAGGTGCAAGGCTTGTCCCACAGCCCCTGTGCAGCACCCAGCACCCAGCACAGCAGAGTCCCCTCCACCCCTCCAGGAGTGGCTGTTCCCAGCTCGGGGCACTGAGCACCACATTACACTCCAGATAAAATATAAGCTCCAGCAAAATACAAACAGTCCCCAGCCATGGCTCATCATTCTCTTGTAAATTAAGACTCTGCACCTCTCCCTTATCTCTTCTAATAGCATAATATCAGGAAACAAGAGGTGGGGAATAGTGTATTATGTTTGTGACCTATGGGCTTTACAGAGCCTTCCTCGCCTTTCCTAATAAGAAATCTCCAGTCAATGCTAATCCTGGCGTGGCTTCCCCTGCACAATGCTCAGAGGATACTAATAACCAGGGACAGTGACAAATGCTCTTTACCGCAACAAGAAGCCTTTCTTTCCCTCTCTTTCACCATTATTCGGGATTTAT